TTCTTATTTGTGTGTAGAGTTTTGCAAAAATAGCCAATAGTTACAAAAAATGTGCTTAAGCAATCAGAAAAAACTGTAACTTTAACACCATCTGCCTGTTCTTACATATGGTATTCACAATTAAAATCATATTAAGCAATGACGAGAAATGCATTCAGGAGGTGCTGATTTTGTATTAACAGACCCAAAAATGAAGCTTCATACCAAAAAAAATAGAGTTCCTGCAGTGGAAACTGTACTAATGCAACATGTTATACTTGACAAACAGAGGGAATTAGAAAAAGTCTCACATCTAATATAAAACTGTTTCAATAAAGGGCTTCTACCTACTAAAGTTGAGATAAATAAAGCCTTCGGCACTGTTTGACAGCTTTATTCTAGACCAATTTCTTGACTTTTTCCAAGAATTTTATACAAGCCTGTTTGTTTCAACACATTTTATTGCCTGTAGCTGTACTGCAACGGAATAATTGTCTTAAGACACACAACACCTGTTAATAAAGAGAGCACTGTGTCTCTCTCAGGAACATAAACAGCTACAGGCCTGATACAGAACACCATGTTTCGGACTCTGTTTAATAAAGCGGTACAGCACTCCTAACAAATGAAAACAAATTAAATGCCTGAGTTTAGTACTTAAAATGTGGTTTCTGCTTTTCTTCTTCTTCTGTCATAAAAAGGAGAGGAATCAGCTTTTACCTCCGTCCTCTTCCAGGCCAGCAGGTTCTCAGTGGTGAGCTGGTGTGTTCTCCTCATGGCCTCCAGCTCTCTCTCATAATACTCCTGAGCCTTGCCCAGCTTGGCCTCATACTCCTCCACCAGGCGGACCTTATCCTTTGTTAGCTCCTCCACCCTCTCCATCAATGCCTCCACCTACGCCAAGAGATGGATAAACAGAGAGCTCGTCAAGACACATTCCAAAATCCTTTTTTAAAAACAAAAACAACAAGTCTTGAATAGATCAAGCTCCTAAACCACATTATGTTTAGTCTTAAGTTAGTTTTAAGTCTTTTTATTGTTGAGAGAAAAGAAAAATGGGAGAAAAATAAGAGAATGACATGCAACAAATCTCTATAGCCAAATTATTATCACTCCGGGTTTATATTGTGCTCATAAGCTAACTGCACTACAACACTACATCCTTTCATTTCATTGATAAGCCTTAAAAAAACAGCAGTTACCCTCGAAAGAAGCTTGCTTTATCAACTTTCTACAAAAATCCCAACATGCATCAGTCCAATCCAAACCTCATCTATCTCCCTCGCTCAATCGAGCTCCGCCCACCTCTTGTCTATGAAGCTCAGCCAGCTTCTCCTGGTCTTCTGTGGAGGAGGCGCTTTGGTTCCGCTGGTTGTTGAGGAGCTCCTCCACCTCCTGGCGGTGGGTGGTCCTCAGCTCCTCCAGCGCTCGCCGCTTCTCAGCCTCAAACTGTGCCTGAGCCTGGCTGAACGAGCGCAGCTTCTCCTCAAAATCCCGACGCATCTCCTCCACCTATTGAAACCACGGAATATGTTCTATTCTGTTTTTGTGTTACTGCTAGCCCAGTCGCTAATGGTGTCACGCTAACTGATCGCAGCATCGCCTCGAAATCCTCCAGGGAGGACAATCAGGGAGGCACAAAACATTCAGTTCTAGCATCTTAAGCCTTTCAGTACTTGTTTGTTATTACCGAAATAAAAGCTTGAAGCTTCTCTATGTACACCTCTAAGCACAGCAAAGTGTTCTTTGCAGCGCAAGATCTGAAACAGATCAAAAAAATGTAGAAACATGTAGCATGTGATGTGATGTCATATGTCATGTAATGCGAACTGTTAGTGCTGGTAAAGATCTTTTTGTTCAAGCTGGAAGCAGACACTGTGAAAGCATTTAAAGTCCAAAGATAACACACAGCAATCCAAATGTAAGAGATAAAGAGCTGAGACGTTCCTTTGTGCCCACATTCATCAGACAAGTGCATATGAAACTGTGTC